TACACCCCCTGGATAGCAGTTACTACACCCCTGGCTAGCAGTTATTACACCCCCGGCTAGCAGTTACTACACCCCTGGATAGCAGTTACTACACACCTGGCCAGCAGTTACTGCACACCTGACTAGCAGTTACTACACCCCTGGCTAGCAGTTACTACACCCCTGGATAGCAGTTACTACACCCCTGGCTAGCAGTTATTACACCTCTGGCTAGCAATTACTACACCCCTGGCTAGCAGTTATTACAACCCTGGCTAGCAGTTACTACACACCTGGCTAGCAGTTACTACACCCCTGGCTAGCAGTTACTACACCCCTGGCTAGCAGTTACTACACCTCTGGCTAGCAGTTATTACACCCCTGGCTAGCAGTTATTGAACCCCTGACTAGCAGTTACTACACACCTGGCTAGCAGTTATTACACCCCTAGCTAGCAGTTACTACGCCCCTGGCTAGCAGTTATTACACCCCTGGCTAGCAGTTATTACACCCTGGCTACAGTTACTACAAAACCGGCTAGCAGTTGCTTTCACACCGGCTAGCAGTTTACACCCCGGCTAGCAATTATTTCACCCCTGGGTAGCAAATATTACACCCCCCGGCAGCAGTTTTACACCCCTGGCTAGCAGTTACTACACACCTGGCTAGCAGTTACTACACCCCTGGCTAGGAGTTACTACACCCCTGGCTAGGAGTTACTACACCCCTGGCTAGCAGTTACTACACCCCTGGCTAGCAGTTATTACACCCCTGGCTAGCAGTTATTACACCCCTGGCTAGCAGTTACTACACACCTGGTTAGCAGCTATTACACCCCTGGCTAGCAGTTACTATGCCCCTGGCTAGCAGTTATTACACCCCTGGCTAGCAGTTACTACACCCCTGGCTAGCAGTTACTACACACCTGGCTAGCAGTTACTACACACCTGGCTAGCAGTTATTACACCCCTGGCTAGCAATTATTACACCCCTGGCTAGCAGTTATTACACCCCTGGCTAGCAGTTATTACACCCCTGACTAGCAGTTACTACACACCTGGCTAGCAGTTACTACACCCCTGGCTAGCAGTTACTACACTCCTGGCTAGCAGTTACTACACCCCTGGCTAGCAGTTATTACACCCCTGGCTAGCAGTTCCTACACACCTGGCTAGCCGTTACTACACACCTGGCTAGCAGTTATTACACCCCTGGCTAGCAGTTACTACACCCCTGGCTAGCAGTTACTACACCCCTGGCAAGCAGTTACTACACACCTGGCTAGCAGTTACTACACACCTGGCCAGCAGTTACTATACACCTGGCCAGCAGTTACTATACACCCGGCTAGCAGTTAATATACACCTAACCAGCGGTTATTATACACTTGGCTAGCAGTTACTATACACCTTGCCAGCAGTTACTATACACCTGGCTAGCAGTTACTATACACCTGGCCAGCAGTTACTATACACTTGTTCAGCAGTTACTATACACTTGGCTAGCAGTTGCTATGCACCTCGCCAGAAGTTACTGGACACCTGGCCAGCAGTTACTATACACCTGGCAAGCAGTTGCTGCACACCTGGCTAGTAGTTTCTATACACCTGGCTAGCACTTACTACACACCTGGCTAGCAGTTACTATACACCTGGCTAGCAGTTACTATACACCTGGCTAGCAGTTACTATACACCTGGCTACCAGTTACTATACACCTGCCTAGCAGTTACTATACACCTGGCTAGCAGTTACTATACACCTGGCTAGCAGTTACTATACACCTGGCTAGCAGTTACTACACACCTGGCTAGCAGCTACTACACACCTGGCCATCAGTTACTTTACACCTGGCCAGCAGTTAGTACACACCTGACCAGCAGTTACTACATACCTGGCCAGCATTTACTACACACCTGACCAGCAGCCTACTACACACCTGGCTAGCAGATACTACACACCTGGCTTGCAGCTACTACACACCTGTCTAGCGGTTACTACACAACTGGCCAGCAGTTACTACACACCTGGCTAGCAGTTACTACACACCTGCTAGCAGTTACTATACACCTGGCTAGCAGTTACTGTACACCTGGCTAGCAGTTACTATACACCTGGCTAGCAGTTACTACACACCTGGCTAGCAGTTACTACACACCTGGCTAGCAGTTACTATACACCTGGCTAGCAGTTACTATACACCTGGCTAGCAGTTACTACACACCTGGCCAGCAGCTACTACACACCTGGCTAGCAGTTACTATGCCCCTGGCTAGCAGTTATTACACCCCTGGCTAGCAGTTACTACACCCCAGGCTAGCAGTTATTACACACCTGGCTAGCAGTTACTACACACCTGGCTAGCAGTTATTACACCCCTGGCTAGCAATTATTACAACCCTGACTAGCAGTTACTACACACCTGGCTAGCAGTTACTACACCCCTGGCTAGCAGTTACTACACTCCTGGCTAGCAGTTACTACACCCCTGGCTAGCAGTTATTACACCCCTGGCTAGCAGTTATTACACCCCTGGCTAGCAGTTACTACACACCTGGCTAGCAGTTACTACACACCTGGCTATCAGTTATTACACCCCTGGCTAGCAGTTACTACACCCCTGGCTAGCAGTTACTTTCAAACCCCCGGGAAGCAGTTACTACACACCTGGCTAGCAGTTACTACACACCTGGCCAGCAGTTACTATACACCTGGCCAGCAGTTACTATACACCTGGCTAGCAGTTAATATACACCTGGCCAGCGGTTATTATACACTTGGCTAGCAGTTACTATACACCTTGCCAGCAGTTACTATACACCTGGCTAGCAGTTACTATACACCTGGCCAGCAGTTACTATACACTTGTCCAGCAGTTACTATACACTTGGCTAGCAGTTGCTATGCACCTGGCCAGAAGTTACTAGACACCTGGCCAGCAGTTACTATACACCTGGCAAGCAGTTGCTACACACCTGGCTAGCAGTTTCTATACATCTGGCTAGCACTTACTACACACCTGGCTAGCAGTTACTATACACCTGGCTAGCATTTAGTATACACCTGGCTAGCAGTTACTATACACCTGGCTACCACTTACTATACACCTGCCTAGCAGTTACTATACACCTGGCTAGCAGTTACTATACACCTGGCTAGCAGTTACTATACACCTGGCTTGCAGTTACTACACACCTGGCTAGCAGCTACTACACACCTGGCCATCAGTTACTTCACACCTGGCCATCAGTTACTACACACCTGGCCAGCAGTTACTACATACCTGGCCAGCATTTACTACACACCTGACTAGCAGCCTACTACACACCTGGCTAGCAGATACTACACACCTGGCTAGCAGCTACTACACACCTGTCTAGCGGTTACTACACAACTGGCCAGCAGTTACTACACACCTGGCTAGCAGTTACTACACACCTGGCTAGCAGTTACTATACACCTGGCTAGCAGTTACTGTACACCTGGCTAGCAGTTACTATACACCTGGCTAGCAGTTACTACACACCTGGCTAGCAGTTACTACACACCTGGCTAGCAGTTACTATACACCTGGCTAGCAGTTACTATACACCTGGCTAGCAGTTACTACACACCTGGCCAGCAGCTACTACACACCTGGCTAGCAGTTACTATGCCCCTGGCTAGCGTTATTACACCCCTGGCTAGCGTATACACCCCTGGCTAGCAGTTACTACACACCTGGCTAGCAGTTACTACACACCTGGTTAGCAGTTACTATACACCTGGCTAGCAGTTACTGTACACCTGGCTAGCAGTTACTGTACACCTGGCTAGCAGTTACTATACACCTGGCTAGCAGTTACTACACACCTGGCTAGCAGTTACTACACACCTGGCTAGCAGTTACTATACACCTGGCTAGCAGTTACTATACACCTGGCTAGCAGTTACTACACACCTGGCCAGCAGCTACTACACACCTGGCTAGCAGTTACTATGCCCCTGGCTAGCAGTTATTACACCCCTGGCTAGCTGTTACTATACACCTGGCTAGCAGTTACTATACACCTGGCTAGCAGTTACTACACACCTGGCTAGCAGTACTACACACCTGGCCCAGCAGTTATTACACCCCTGGCTAGCAATTATTACACCCCTGGCTAGCAGTTATTACACCCCTGGCTAGCAGTTATTACACCCCTGACTAGCAGTTACTACACACCTGGCTAGCAGTTACTACACCCCTGGCTAGCAGTTACTACACTCCTGGCTAGCAGTTACTACACCCCTGGCTAGCAGTTATTACACCCCTGGCTAGCGGTTATTACACCCCTGGCTAGCAGTTACTACACACCTGGCTAGCAGTTACTACACACCTGGCTAGCAGTTATTACACCCCTGGCTAGCAGTTACTACACCCCTGGCTAGCAGTTACTACACCCCTGGCAAGCAGTTACTACACACCTGGCTAGCAGTTACTACACACCTGGCCAGCAGTTACTATACACCTGGCCAGCAGTTACTATACACCTGGCTAGCAGTTAATATACACCTGGCCAGCGGTTATTATACACTTGGCTAGCAGTTACTATACACCTTGCCAGCAGTTACTATACACCTGGCTAGCAGTTACTATACGCCTGGCCAGCAGTTACTATACACTTGTCCAGCAGTTACTATACACTTGGCTAGCAGTTGCTATGCACCTGGCCAGAAGTTACTAGACACCTGGCCAGCAGTTACTATACACCTGGCAAGCAGTTGCTACACACCTGGCTAGCAGTTTCTATACATCTGGCTAGCACTTACTACACACCTGGCTAGCAGTTACTATACACCTGGCTAGCAGTTACTATACACCTGGCTAGCAGTTACTACACACCTGGCCAGCAGCTACTACACACCTGGCTAGCAGTTACTATATACCTGGCTAGCAGTTACTATACACCTGGTCAGCAGCTACTACACACCTGGCCAACAGCTACTACATACCTGGCCAGCAGCTACTACACACCTGGCCAGCAGCTACTACACACATACCTGGGCTTCTTGAAGAAGTTGTTGATCCTGCGGCTGGTGTTGCGGACGAAGTGAGTCTCAGGGTAATCATATTTGTTCTTGTTACGGACGTAGGAAGCATAACAGAGAAGAGCAATAAGCACAGGCAGCAACACTGCCAGCACCGCCCCGGCTGTGATTCCACCTTGCATCATCAGATACTCTGACTCAGCTGAAGACAGGTAGTGAGAGAGAGAAGAGGCAGTCAATCTTTTAACGTCCCTCTGGTTAATGTGGGAATTTAGACGAAGAAGGGAAGGGAAGCTGCAGAAATATTTATAGAGAGAGCTTTCTGATGTGTGTGGAGCTCTAATCATGTCTTGTCTCTGCATAGAGCTTTACAAACTCGAGCTTCGCTCTGTGTAGAGGTTTATCAGGTCATGAGACTTTGTTTCTGCAGTGTGTAAACTAAGGTGGACAAACATCGGTAAGTTAGCATTAATTTGCACTCTCAACCTGTCATCATTTTACCACATTAATTTATACATTGTTTCTTAACATGTAAAACAAACTTAAAAATATTACTTCTTTTATTTTGGGTGACGTTAGGGTACATATCTTAATATATTTTATATATTTGTATAAACTTATGCAGTATAATAAATCACAAACTAGCAGTTTAAGAAAATCGGCCCCAACAAGTTGTAATACATGATCGACACCATGCCTAACCCTTCTAGGGTAGGGTAGGTGCCTGAGCCCGAGCCTTTAGCTCATAAGACTGTCATTCCCATTAGCCCCCTTGAGGCGGGGATGGCAGACCAGAGAGGCCTAGCTTGTGGCTAGGCCTGGGGACAGTTGGTCCCAAAGATGAGGAGGTACTTGTGCCTCCTCCCATGGGAGACTTAGGTCTCAGATACTCCCTAAAGAGGGAGCCAAGGCCGGGCCACCACTTGGAAAAGGCCCGGGCCGGGAGAATACCGGCTAATCTTTAATAATAATTGTAATACATGATCGACACCATGCCTAACCCTTCTAGGGTAGGGTAGGTGCCTGAGCCCGAGCCTTTAGCTCATAAGACTGTCATTCCCATTAGCCCCCTTGAGGCGGGGATGGCAGACCAGAGAGGCCTAGCTTGTGGCTAGGCCTGGGGACAGTTGGTCCCAAAGATGAGGAGGTACTTGTGCCTCCTCCCATGGGAGACTTAGGTCTCAGACACTCCCTAAAGAGGGAGCCAAAGCCGGGCCACCACTTGGAAAAGGCTCGGGCCGGGAGAATACCGGCTAATCTTTAATAAATAATAATTGTAATACATCATCGACACCATGCCCAGCCCTTCTAGGGTAGGGTAGGTGCCTGAGTCCGATCCTTTAGCTCATAAGACTGTCATTCCCATTTGCCCCCTTGAGGCGGGGATGGCAGACCAGAGAGGCCTAGCTTGTGGCTAGGCCTAGGGACAGTTGGTCCCAAAGATGAAGAGGTAATTGTGCCTCCTCCCATGGGAGACTTAGGTCTCAGACACTCCCTAAAGAGGGAGCCAAGGCCGGGCCACCACTTGGAAAAGGCCCGGGCCGGAAGAATACCGGCGAATATTTAATAATAATAATTGTAATACATCGATCGACACCATGCCTAACCCTTCTAGGGTAGGGTAGGTGCCTGAGCCCGAGCCTTTAGCTCATAAGACTGTCATTCCCATTAGCCCCTTTGGGGTGGGGATGGCAGACCAGAGAGGCCTAGCTTGTGGCTAGGCCTGGGGATAGTTGGTCCCAAAGATGAGGAGCTACTTGTGCCTCCTCCCATGGGAGACTTAGGTCTCAGACACTCCCTAAGGAGGGAGCCAAGGCCGGGCCACCACTTGGAAGGCCCGGGCCGGGAGAATACCGGCTAATATTTAATAATAATAATAAATTGTAATGCATCGACACCATGCCCAGCCCTTCTAGGGTAGGGTACGTGCCCGAGCCTGAGCTTGCAGCTCACAAGACTGTCATACCCAGTAGCCCCCTGGGGCTGGTATGGCAGACCAGAGAGGCCTAGCTTGTGGATAGGCCTGGGGACAGTTGGTCTCAGAGATGAGGAGGTACTTGTGCCTCCTCCCATGGCAGACTTAAGTCTCAGACAGTCCCTAGAGAGGGAGTCAAGGCCGGGCCACCACTTGGAAGGCCCGGGCCGGGAGAATACCCGCGAATCTTTAATAATAATAACTTGTGATGCTAATATGTGGACCCCCGGTTAACGATATTTTTTCACTCCAGAAGTATGTTCAGGTGCCAGTACTGACCGAATTTGTTCCCATAAGGAATATTGTGAAGTAGATTAGTCCATTTCAGACCCCCAAACATACACGTACAAACGCACTTACATAAATACACTAACATAATTGGTCGCATTCGGAGGTAATCGTTATGCGGGGGTCCACTGTACTTTATAAATACGTATTTTTTTTTTTAATTTGTTTCTTTGGAATTTTGTTAGTTGTTAATTTTTGGATTTTATAAAAGCTTCAGGAAATGTAAAATATTAGCAAAAATAAACGTCGTTTAGCGAATACTTTATATAAGAATATGAAGAGCGATGTTTGACCCGGTGTGGCCCGGTGGCCTGGTGGCTAAAGCTCCCGCTTCACACACGGAGGGCCCGGGTTCGATTCCCGGCGGGTGGAAACATTTCGACACGTTTCCTTACACCTGTTGTCCTGTTCACCTAGCAGCAAATAGGTACCTGAGTGTTAGTCGACTGGTGTGGGTCGCATCCTGGGGGACAAGATTAAGGACCCCAATGGAAATAAGTTAGACAGTCCTCGATGACGCACTGACTTTCTTGGGTTATCCTGGGTGGCTAACCCTCCAGGGTTAAAAATCCGAACGAAATCTTATCTTATCTTATCTGACAGCTGACTTGTAATGTTTAGCGTACGTGTTGACGGACGAATGTTGAGAGTGTTGTGAGCTGTACGTGGTAGCAACTTCTGACTCTGGCCAGATAAAAAGTTTACCTGGAGAGAGTTCCGGGGGTCAACTCCCCCCGCGTCCCGATCTGTGACTAGGCCTCATGGTGGGTCAGGGCCTGATCAACCAGGCTGTTACTGCTGGCTGCACGCAATCCAACGTACAAGCCACACACCTCCCTGAGGGACCCACACACCTCCCTGAGGGTCCCACACACCTCCCTGAGGGTCCCACATACCTCCCTGAGGGTCCCACACACCTCCCTGAGGGACCCACACACCTCCCTGAGGGTCCCACACACCTCCCTGAGGGACCCACACACCTCCCTGAGGGTCCCACACACCTCCCTGAGGGACCCACACACCTCCCTGAGGGACCCACACACCTCCCTGAGGGTCCCACATACCTCCCTGAGGGACCCACACACCTCCCTGAGGGACCCACACCTCCCTGAGGGTCCCACACACCTCCCTGAGGGACCCACACACCTCCCTGAGGGTCCCACACACCTCCCTGAGGGACCCACACACTCCTGAGGCCCACACTCCACCTGAGGGTCCCACACACCTACCCTGAGGGTCCCACACACCTCCCTGAGGGTCCCACACACCTCCTTGAGGGACCCACACACCTCCCTGAGGGATCCACACACCTCCCTGAGGGTCCCACACACCTCCCTGAGGGACCCCACCTAGGCCACACCTCCCTGAGGGACCCACACACCTCCCTGAGGGTCCCACACACCTCCCTGAGGGTAACCCAGCCACACACCTCCCTGAGGGACCACACACCTCCCTGAGGGTCCCACACACCTCCCTGAGGGACCCACACACCTCCCTGAGGGACCCACACCTCCCTGAGGGTCCCACACACCTCCCTGAGGGACCCACACACCTCCCTGAGGGCACCCACACCTCCTGGGACCCACACACCTCCCTGAGGGTCCCACACACCTACCTGAGGGTCCCACACACCTCCCTGAGGGTCCCACACACCTCCCTGAGGGACCCACACACCTCCCTGAGGGACCCACACACTCCCTGAGGCCACACACCTCCCTGAGGGACCCACACACCTCCCTGAGGGACCCACACACCTCCGAGTCCACCACCTCCTGAGGGACCCACACACCTCCCTGAGGGACCCACACACCTCCCTGAGGGTCCCACACACCTCCCTGAGGGACCCACACACCTCCCTGAGGGACCCACACACCTCCCTGAGGGTCCCACACACCTCCCTGAGGGACCCACACACCTCCCTGAGGGTCCCACACACCTCCCTGAGGGTCCCACACACCTCCCTGAGGGTCCCACACACCTCCCTGAGGGACCCACACACATCCCTGAGGGTCCCACACACCTCCCTGAGGGACCCACACACCTCCCTGAGGGTCCCACACACCTCCCTGAGGGACCCACACACCTCCCTGAGGGTCCCACACACCTCCCTGAGGGTCCCACACACCCTGAGGTCCCACACACCTCCCTGAGGGTCCCACACACCTCCCTGAGGGTCCCACACACCTCCCTGAGGGACCCACACACCTCCCCGAGGGTCCCACACACCTCCCTGAGGGTCCCACACACCTCCCTGAGGGTCCCACACACCTCCCTGAGGGACCCACACACCTCCCTGAGGGACCCACACACCTCCCTGAGGGACCCACACACCCCCTGAGGGACCCACAACCTCCCTGAGGGTCCACACACTCCCTGAGGACCCACACACCTCCTGGGACCCACACTCCCTGAGGGACCCAACACTCCTGAGGGCACTCCCTGAGTCCCACACGAGCACTAACATCCAGATGCGAACAACAACAGTCTGAGTCCACTAACTTCGTGAACATTATTATCGATCGTTGTCCTTCCAAGAAATTATATAATAATTAAATTATATAATACTTTAGACGTTATATCGAAAATCTGTATAAGTAAAATCAATCATAACATCTACAAACACAAGCGAATTTTAGTTAATACACATATAAAAATTTACATTACCTGGTGTTTACCTGGAGAGAGTTGCGGGGGTCAACGCCCCCGCGGCCCGGTCTGTGACCAGGCCTCCTGGTGGATCAGAGCCTGATCAACCAGGCTGTTACTGCTGGCTGCACGCAATCCAACGTACGAGCCACAGCCCGGCTGGTCAGGTACCGACTTTAGGTGCTTGTCCAGTGTCAGCGTGAAACTACGCAAAGCGTTGAGTTGAGGCCCTCGCGTTGTGAGGTGTTACCGTATAAGCAAAACCCAACGAAATTAAATATAACTGACAGGAGGTTAGCAATCGAAGGTGTTCCTATTAATGATCTATCATTTTTCCTTAGAAGATCGACACAGTTCAGCATTAAGTGTTAATTGTTAATATAAAATAGTGTGTATGCTGCTACACACTTGACTCTTTGGACAGAGTATCGTCCAGATCCCACAAAACATTCTGGAAGATGACTGGTTTGTTGTCCACTGGCTCATGGGTGTCATAGTCTCCGTCAAAATGCTTGGGAACTGTTACAGGTCTACAGCCTAAGGGATCCAGGCGACTGGCTGGATTTGAATAAGTGAAACTCCCGGAGATGCTGCCACTGCCGACGGAGGAGGAGGAGGAGTCGACGCTGTCGCTAGAGCTGAGGTAGTCACTCCTGCCAAGTGGAGTTTCATGAAGGAGTTTCTGTTCTGGTGGACCTGACTTCCAAATGATGGGGTCCTCAGAACGCGAGACGGGGGAGTAGTTGGGATCCTTGGTGAGAATGGGAGGCGATATGATGGGGCGTGAGGAGGGGTTACGAGTGGGACGAGAGGCGGGGCGCGAGACATCGTAGATATGAGGTGAGGCGAGGCGCGTCTTGGAACGTCGGTAGGAGGCGAAGCAGAGGGTTGCGAAGAGAACTGGCAGGAGAACAGCCAAGACAGCGCCGGCAGTGATTCCTTGCTGCATCATCAGGAACTCCCTCTCAGCTGTAGAGCAACACACTCCATCAGTTGGAGTCACACCTGTCCGCGCCCGCGCCACCCCTCGCACGCCTACCTCACCACGCCATAAACGCCTACTCACCAGTTTATCCGGATTTATTTTAAGAGTCCGGTTTATTAATTACATAATTGTATGATATTAATAGTCCAGTACAAGTTGCGGGGCGCCTCAGAACAGATGTAGCAGTGGCCTGGAATCTTCAAACAGGGTACCTTGATGCTGCTGAATGACTCTTGATCCAAGGAATTAGAGCTACCATCCACTTTCTTGGATCAAGACTGACTACTTCCCATTCCCCAGGCGCTGTATAACCCACTACGGATTTATCGATTCCTCTTGAATATGATGAGTGATCGGGTAGAGCAAGGTATGGAGGGAGAGGCTCCGGGCGCGGACGATACTGGACCAGTGTTGTTATTACCATAACAAGACTGAGATACACTAGCTGGCCTAGCACTGTATGTCACTATTCCACTTTACCTCTCAGCATATTCTAGCAGTAACATCACATGAGTGTAAGAGTATAGCACAAACAGTACAAGACACTTACTGACGCAGGTGACCTCGCCGTGTTCTGGCCAGTTCCAGTCCCCTGAAGCGTAGCACCATCGTCGCTGCTCACCCAGCAACACATAGCCGGGGTCACAGTCGAACTTGACCTCAGCGCCGCTGAGGAAGTTGAAAGTCGACTTGCGGCCATTGGGCGGTGTTGGCAGCGCCCCACAGGATATCACTGAACAGGAGAAACACCATCAACATCACGTCACATCACGTCACGGTAGTCATGTCAAAAGCAAAGAAGGAATATATTTACACCACCTACCATGGCCTTACCATCATTATATCAGTGGTATAAACCGACAAGCTAATGAATAACACATGCCCACCAGTAATTAGATTGGTAGCGCACTCAGCTCGCACACTGAGGTCCGTGGTGCAGGTAGGAACATTAGGACGTGTTTCCTTGAGACACCTGCTGTCCTTGTTCACCTAGCAGTAAAATATGTACCTGGGTGCTAGTGGACTGGTGTGGGTCGCATCCTGGAGACAAAATTGATCTAATTTGCGGGAAATGCTCTGCATAACAAGTAGTTTTCTGTAGAGTAATGTGTCAGTGATGTCAGCTATGGTCTGTATACCTTGTACATGTACTGGTAGTACTAAAGATAACTATTATTATTATTATTATTTTATTATTATTATTATTGCCCAAACTTTTCACCTCCGCACCACGATTTTTCAGTCAAATACAGAGGCGACTTTTACACCCAGCCTTCTATCATAACTAAGGAACTGCACACGTTTTATTTATCAAGGCTAAATGACAGAGTACCTCTCCACATCTTCTTTGTTTCTAATATAAAAATCGCCTTTGAATTCGACTGAAGAAACCTGCTGCCTAGGCGAAACGTTTCGTCAGTAAAGATACCCAAGTGGTGCGCATGTGTTATTCTTAAGTACGTGGTCCGGTTGAGGAGCCGGGGCGCCACGACACTGTAGCTGTGTCTCGCTTCATCAACATTTCTCTACCATGATTTATATTACATTCATCTAAATCATGATGATCTACATTTATCATTAAATTAATTAACGGGTGAGGGCAGTACCTGCCTACCATGAGTGTGTGTGAGGGCAGTATCTGCCTACCATGAGTGTGTGTGAGGGCAGTACCTGCCTACCATGAGTGTGTGTGAGGGCAGTATCTGCCTACCATGAGTGTGTGTGAGGGCAGTACCTGCCTACCATGAGTGTGTGTGAGGGCAGTACCTGCCTACCATGAGTGTGTGTGAGGGCAGTACCTGCCTACCATGAGTGTGTGTGAGGGCAGTACCTGCCTACCATGAGTGTGTGTGAGGGCAGTACCTGCCTACCATGAGTGTGTGTGAGGGTAGTACTGACCTACCATGAGTGTGTGTGAGGGCTGTACTGACCTGTCATGAGTGTGTGTGAGGGCAGTACCTGCCTACCATGAGTGTGTGTGAGAGCAGTACCTGCATACCATGAGTGTGTGTGAGGGCAGTACCTGCCTACCATGAGTGTGTGTGAGGGCAGTACCTGCCTACCATGAGTGTGTGTGTGAGGGCAGTACCTGCCTACCATGAGTGTGTGTGAGGGCAGTACCTGCCTACCATGAGTGTGGTGTGAGGGCAGTACCTGCCTACCATGAGTGTGTGTGTGAGGGCAGTACCTGCCTACCATGAGTGTGTGTGAGGGCAGTACCTGCCTACCATGAGTGTGTGTGAGGGCAGTACCTGCCTACCATGAGTGTGTGTGTGAGGGCAGTACTGACCTGCCATGAGTGTGTGTGTGAGGGCAGTACCAGCCTACCATGAATGTGAATGAGTGCGAGTACAGTACTGACCTACCATGAGTGTGAGTACAGTACTGACCTACCATGAGTGTGAGGACAGTACTGACCTACCATGAGTGTGAGGACAGTACTGACCTACCATGAGTGTGAGCACAGTACTGACCTACCATGAGTGTGAGTACAGTACTGACCTACCATGAGTGTGAGTACAGTACTGACCTACCATGAGTGTGAGTACAGTACTGACCTACCATGAGTGTGAGCACAGTACTGACCTACCATGAGTGTGAGCACAGTACTGACCTACCATGAGTGTGAGCACAGTACTGACCTACCATGAGTGTGAGGACAGTACTGACCTACCATGAGTGTGAGTACAGTACTGACCTACCATGAGTGTGAGTACAGTACTGACCTACCATGAGTGTGAGTACAGTACTGACCTACCATGAGTGTGAGCACAGTACTGACCTACCATGAGTGTGAGGACAGTACTGACCTACCATGAGTGTGAGTACAGTACTGACCTACCATGAGTGTGAGCACAGTACTGACCTACCATGAGTGTGAGGACAGTACTGACCTACCATGAGTGTGAGTACAGTACTGACCTACCATGAGTGTGAGGACAGTACTGACCTACCATGAGTGTGAGCACAGTACTGACCTACCATGAGTGTGAGGACAGTACTGACCTACCATGAGTGTGAGTACAGTACTGACCTACCATGAGTGTGAGCACAGTACTGACCTACCATGAGTGTGAGGACAGTACTGACCTACCATGAGTGTGAGTACAGTACTGACCTACCATGAGTGTGAGCACAGTACTGACCTACCATGAGTGTGATGGACAGTACTGACCTACCATGAGTGTGAGTACAGTACTGACCTACATGAGTGTGAGCACAGTACTGACCTACCATGAGTGTGAGGACAGTACTGACCTACCATGAGTGTGAGGACAGTACTGACCTACCATGAGTGTGAGTACAGTACTGACCTACCATGAGTGTGAGCACAGTACTGACCTACCATGAGTGTGAGGACAGTACTGACCTACCATGAGTGTGAGTACAGTACTGACCTACCATGAGTGTGAGTACAGTACTGACCTACCATGAGTGTGAGTACAGTACTGACCTACCATGAGTGTGAGCACAGTACTGACCTACCATGAGTGTGAGGACAGTACTGACCTACCATGAGTGTGAGTACAGTACTGACCTACCATGAGTGTGAGCACAGTACTGACCTACCATGAGTGTGAGTACAGTACTGACCTACCATGAGTGTGAGTACAGTACTGACCTACCATGAGTGTGAGGACAGTACTGACCTACCATGAGTGTGAGGACAGTACTGACCTACCATGAGTGTGAGTACAGTACTGACCTACCATGAGTGTGAGCACAGTACTGACCTACCATGAGTGTGAGGACAGTACTGACCTACCATGAGTGTGAGGACAGTACTGACCTACCATGAGTGTGAGTACAGTACTGACCTACCATGAGTGTGAGCACAGTACTGACCTACCATGAGTGTGAGGACAGTACTGACCTACCATGAGTGTGAGTACAGTACTGACCTACCATGAGTGTGAGTACAGTACTGACCTACCATGAGTGTGAGTACAGTACTGACCTACCATGATGTGAGCACAGTACTGACCTACCATGAGTGTGAGGACAGTACTGACCTACCATGAGTGTGAGTACAGTACTGACCTACCATGAGTGTGAGTACAGTACTGACCTACCATGAGTGTGAGTACAGTACTGACCTACCATGAGTGTGAGGACAGTACTGACCTACCATGAGTGTGAGCACAGTACTGACCTACCATGAGTGTGAGGACAGTACTGACCTACCATGAGTGTGAGTACAGTACTGAACTACCATGAGTGTGAGCACAGTACTGCCTTACCATGAGTGTGTGCACAGTACTGACCTACCATGAGTGTGAGCACAGTACTGAACTACCATGAGTGTGAGCACAGTACTGCCTTACCATGAGTGTGAGCACAGTACTGACCTACCATGAGTGTGAGCACAGTACTGAACTACCATGAGTGTGAGTACAGTACTGACCTACCATGAGTGTGAGTACAGTACTGAACTACCATGAGTGTGAGCACAGTACTGAACTACCATGAGTGTGAGCACAGTACTGAACTACCATGAGTGTGAGTACAGTACTGACCTACCATGAGTGTGAGTACAGTACTGACCTAACATGAGTGTGAGCACAGTACTGAACTACCATGAGTGTGAGCACAGTACTGCCTTACCATGAGTGTGAGCACAGTACTGACCTACCATGAGTGTGAGCACAGTACTGACCTACCATGAGTGTGAGTACAGTACTGAACTACCATGAGTGTGAGTACAGTACTGAACTACCATGAGTGTGAGCACAGTACTGACCTACCATGAGTGTGAGCACAGTACTGACCTACCATGAGTGTGAGTACAGTACTGAACTACCATGAGTGTGAGCACAGTACTGACCTACCATGAGTGTGAGTACAGTACTGAACTACCATGAGTGTGAGTACAGTACTGACCTACCATGAGTATGAGCACAGTACTGAACTACCATGAGTGTGAGTACAGTACTGAACTACCATGAGTGTGAGTACAGTACTGACCTACCATGAGTGTGAGCACAGTACTGACCTACCATGAGTGTGAGTACAGTACTGACCTACCATGAGCTTGAGCACAGTAGTGACCTACCATGAGTGTGAGCACATTACTAACCTGCCTTCAGAGCATCATCCTTGATATTAACAAACTGGTCTTGGTAATACTTGGTCATGACTGCGAAGTCTCTTTTAAGAGAGACAACGTAGTCGTAGTAACACTGGTAGGAGTCGCCACACACTTGCTGGATCTCCGACATGTCTGTTGTGCTGTAAGCAACACAAGGGTAGGTGTTACTTAATATGTTCTCTGCAACACACACACACACACACACACAACACACAAAACACGCAACACACCACACAACCCCGTACACCACACACACACCACACACACACACGCACACACACACAGACACACACCAAACACACAACACACACACACACAAACACACACACACACACCAACACACCACACACACACCAAACACACACACACACACACACACACAACACCCACACACACACACACACACACACCCACACACACACACACACACACACACACACCCCACCACACACCACACACACACACACACACCACCCACACACACACACAACACACACACACACCACACACACCACACACACACACACACACACACACCACACACACACACACACACACACACACACACACACACACACACACACACACCCACACACACACACACACACACACACACACACAACACACACACACACACACTCACACACCACACACACACACAACACACACACACACCACACACACACACACACACACACACACACACACACACACACACACACACACACACACACACACACACACACACACACACACAACACACACACACACACACACACACACACACACACACACACACAACACACACACACACACACACACACACACACACACACACACACACACACACACACAAGCTTCACGGCCCCTAATCCCTTAGGAGCCGCAGAAGCGACTTTAGTCCACAATGCTTAAAAAATTTGGGTCAACTGTATGAGAAAGGGCTTTTAAAAAATAATATTAACAATATTAACAATACAAAATAATAGTTAACAATACAAAATATTAGTTAAAATAAAAATTAAAAGGTTGCTGAGGTATGATGTTAGCCAGCCATTGTTGGTGTGCCACGGTGTCCCCATAACAGTTCAAGCTTCAGGGCCCCTAAAATGTGGCTCCACCACTGAACACAGTATTGACTTACGCGTTGAGAGACAGATCAGGATGGGGTTTCCACTCGGGTTCGAAATTTGGGTCGTAGTAGTAGTTGCTGGAGCGAGAGTTGTCGTGCATGAACAGACTCTTGCCCAAGTATGGTGACTCCTTATCGTCCAGCACCCCTGTAACACATGTTGATTTGCAGGTGTTTAGTGGTGATACCAGTGTTTAGTTGTGACATCAGTGTTAAGTGGTGATACCAGTGTTTAGTGGTGATACCAGTGTTTAGTTGTGACATCAGTGTTAAGTGGTGATACCAGTGTTTAGTGGTGATACCAGTGTTTAGTGGTGATACCAGTGTTTAGTTGTGACATCAGTGTTAAGTGGTGATACCAGTGTATAGTGGTGATACCAGTGTTTAGTTGTGACATCAGTGTTAAGTGGTGATACCAGTGTATAGTGGTGATACCAGTGTTTAGTTGTGACATCAGTGTTTAGTTGTGACATCAGTGTTAAGTGGTGATACCAGTGTATAGTGGTGATACCAGTGTTTAGTTGTGACATCAGTGTTAAGTGGTGATACCAGTGTTTAGTGGTGATACCAGTGTTTAGTTGTGACATCAGTGTTAAGTGGTGATACCAGTGTATAGTGGTGATACCAGTGTTTAGTTGTGACATCAGTGTTTAGTTGTGACATCAGTGTTAAGTGGTGATACCAGTGTATAGTGGGATACCAGTGTTTAGTTGTGACATCAGTGTTAAGTGGTGATACCAGTGTTTAGTGGTGATACCAGTGTTTAGTTGTGACATCAGTGTTAAGTGGTGATACCAGTGTTTAGTGATGATACCAGTGTTTAGTTGTGACATCAGCATTAAGTGGTGATACCAGTGTTTAGTGGTGATACCAGTGTTTAGTTGTGACATCAGTTTTAAGTGATGATTCCAGTGTTTAGTGGTGATACCAGTGTTTAGTTGTGACATCATTGTTAAGTGGTGATACCAGTGTTTAGTGGTGATACCAGTGTTTAGTGGTGATACCAGTGTTTAGCGGTGATACCAGCGTTTAGTTGTGACATCAGTGTTAAGTGGTGATACCAGTGTTTAGTGGTGATACCAGTGTTTAGTTGTGACATCAATGTTTAGTTGTGACATCAGTGTTAAGTGGTGATACCAGTGTTTAGTGGTGATACCAGTGTTTAGTTGTGACATCAGTGTTAAGTGGTGATACCAGTGTTTAGTGGTGATACCAGTGTTTAGTTGTGACATCAGTGTTAAGTGGTGATACCAGTGTTTAGTGGTGACCTCAGTGTTAAGTGGTGATACCAGTGTTTAGTTGTGACATCAGTGTTAAGTGGTGATACCAGTGTTTAGTGGTGATACCAGTGTTTAGTGGTGATACCAGTGTTTAGCGGTGATACCAGTGTTTAGTGGTGATACCAGTGTTTAGCGGTGATGCCAGTGTTTAGTGGTGATACCAGTGTTTAGTAGTGATACCAGTGTTTAGTGGTGATACCAGTGTTTAGTTGTGACATCAGTGTTAAGTGGTGATACCAGTGTTTAGTGGTGATACCAATGTTTAGTGGTGATACCAGTGTTTAGTTGTGACATCAGTGTTAAGTGGTGATACCAGTGTTTAGTGGTGACATCAATGTTTAGTTGTGAAAAAGTTAGCATATGAGAAGTTTTTACAAAGTAGAAGTGATGCAAGGAGGGAAGAGTATATGGAGAAAAAGAGAGGGGTTAAGAGAGTGGTGAAGCAATGTAAAAAGAGAGCAAATGAGAGAGTGGGTGAGATGTTATCAACAAATTTTGTTGAAAATAAGAAAAAGTTTTGGAGTGAGATTAACAAGTTAAGGAAGCCTAGAGAACAAATGGATTTGTCAGTTAAAAATAGGAGAGGAGAGTTATTAAATGGAGAGTTAGAGGTATTGGGAAGATGGAGGGAATATTTTGAGGAATTGTTAAATGTTGATGAAGATAGGGAAGCTGTGATTTCGTGTATAGGACAAGGAGGAATAACATCTTGTAGGAGTGAGGAAGAGCCAGTTGTGAGTGTGGGGAAGTTCGTGAGGCAGTGTGAGTGTGGGGGAAGTTCGTGAGGCAGTAGGTAAAATGAAAGGGGGTAAGGCAGCCGGGATTGATGGGATAAAGATAGAAATGTTAAAAGCAGGTGGGGATATAGTTTTGGAGTGGTTGGTGCAATTATTTAATAAATGTATGGAAGAGGGTAAGGTACCTAGGGATTGGCAGAGAGCATGCATAGTTCCTTTGTATAAAGGCAAAGGGGACAAAAGAGAGTGCAAAAATTATAGGGGGATAAGTCTGCTGAGTATACCTGGTAAAGTGTATGGTAGAGTTATTATTGAAAGAATTAAGAGTAAGGCGGAGAATAGGATAGCAGATGAACAAGGAGGCTTTAGGAAAGGTAGGTGTGTGGACCAGGTGTTTACAGTGAAACATATAAGTGAACAGTATTTAGATAAGGTTAAAGAGGTCTTTGTGGCATTTATGGATTTGGAAAAGGCGTATGACAGGGTGGATAGGGGGGCAATGTGGCAGATGTTGCAGGTGTATGGTGTAGGAGGTAGGTTACTGAAAGCAGTGAAGAGTTTTTACGAGGATAGTGAGGCTCAAGTTAGAGTACGTAGGAAAGAGGGAAATTATTTCCCAGTAAAAGTAGGCCTTAGACAAGGATGTGTGATGTCACCGTGGTTGTTTAATATATTTATAGATGGGGTTGTAAGAGAAGTAAATGCGAGGGTCTTGACAAGAGGCGTGGAGTTAAAAGATAAAGAATCACACACAAAGTGGGAGTTGTCACAGCTGCTCTTTGCTGATGACACTGTGCTCTTGGGAGATTCTGAAGAGAAGTTGCAGAGATTAGTGGATGAATTTGGTAGGGTGTGCAAAAGAAAAATTAAAGGTGAATACAGGAAAGAGTAAGGTTATGAGGATAACAAAAAGATTAGGTGATGAAAGATTGAATATCAGATTGGAGGGAGAGAGTATGGAGGAGGTGAATGTATTCAGATATTTGGGAGTGGACATGTCAGCGGATGGGTCTATGAAAGATGAGGTGAATCATAGAATTGATGAGGGAAAAAGAGTGAGTGGTGCACTTAGGAGTCTGTGGAGACAAAGAACTTTGTCCTTGGAGGCAAAGAGGGGAATGTATGAGAGTATAGTTTTACCAACGCTCTTATATGGGTGTGAAGCATGGGTGATGAATGTTGCAGCGAGGAGAAGGCTGGAGGCAGTGGAGATGTTATGTCTGAGGGCAATGTGTGGTGTGAATATAATGCAGAGAATTCGTAGTTTGGAAGTTAGGAGGAGGTGCGGGATTACCAAAACTGTTGTCCACAGGGCTGAGGAAGGGTTGTTGAGGTGGTTCGGACATGTAGAGAGAATGGAGCGAAACAGAATGACTTCAAGAGTGTATCAGTCTGTAGTGGAAGGAAGGCGGGTAGGGTCGGCCTAGGAAAGGTTGGAGAGAGGAGTAAAGGAGGTTTTGTGTGCGAGGGGCTTGGACTTCCAGCAGGTATGCATGAGCGTGTTTGATAGGAGTGAATGGAGACAAATGGTTTTTAATACTTGACGTGCTGTTGGAGTGTGAGCAAAGTAACATTTATGAAGGGGTTCAGGGAAACCGGCAGGCCGGACTTGAGTCCTGGAGATGGGAAGTACAGTGCCTGCACTCTGAAGGAGGGGTGTTAATGTTGCAGTTTAAAAACTGTAGTGTAAAGCACCCTTCTGGCAAGACAGTGATGGAGTGAATGATGGTGAAAGTTTTTCTTTTTCGGGCCACCCTGCCTTGGTGGGAATCGGCCAGTGTGATAATAAAAAATAATAAAAAAAACCAGTGTTTAGTGGTGATACCAGTGTTTAGTGGTGATACCAGTGTTTAGCGGTGATACCAGTGTTTAGTGGTGATACCAGTGTTTAGTGGTGACCTCAGTGTTAAGTGGTGATACCAGTGTTAAGTGGTGATACCAGTGTTAAGTGGTGATACCAGTTGTGATGTAGTCCAGCTGGGCTTGTGAGGTCTCTGGGGAGACCTAATTTAACCAATTATATGGTCACACCTTGCCTTGGCAAACGTCTGTAGCCACGCCCACGTCTGAGGTCTTTTGTTCTTGACGGCGTCAGACCTAGGCGTCAGGTCGTACACGTGGTTGTGGAGGGTGCTTGGACCACCATAAAAGCCCAAGGAAGAGCATGATCAGGAGATTCGAGCGGAGCTGCTGCTGAGGTGCAGAGCTCCTGAGCAGAGACTTCGAGCGGAGCTGCTGCTGGGGTGCAGGGCTCGGGAGAAGGCTGCTGAAGTCTCTGGAGGAGACTGTTGGAGACATTGGGCAGAGTACTGGCTTGGAGCAGTACTCGTGCTGTGTAGGTCTTGGGACCTGGGGCTTAGTTCCTGTAGTGAACTGTCCTCTGTGCTATATTGTAAGTTATATTCATTTTCGTCAAGTTGATTGTGTTCCCTTGTCTCACTGCTTATGTGTACCATCCCATTTATCTAAACCCCAATAATGTTCTCCTGTTCCCAAATATATTATTGTTCAAGGACTTAATAATAAACTGTGTTTGAGTAGAATAGTAATATTCACTGCCCACCGTTATTTATTCTTTTTTTCTTATATTTTATTATGTTTATATATGAGTGAAGAATGGGCGAGGCATATGTTAGTGAGTAGTGTAGAGTTAATGAGAGTGTCGTGGTGGTCACCACTGACCTGTCATTACCTACCTACCTCCGCTAATCATCTCACTCCTACCACCTCGCCTGCCTCTCCCCTGCCTACATAAGCCCCTACTCCCATATTCCCCACTTATATCCAATTCAATCATTACCCCCATACATGACACAGTGTTTAGTGGTGATACCAGTGTTTAGTGGTGATACAAGTGTTTAGTGGTGATACCAGTGTTTAGCGGTGATACAAGTGTTTAGTGGTGATACCAGTGTTTAGTGTTGGTACCAGTCTTTAGCGGTGATACCAGTCTTTAGCGGTGATACCAGTGTTTAGTGGTGATACCAGTGTTTAGTGGTGATACCAGTGTTTAGTGGTGATACCAGTGTTTAGTGGTGATACCAGTGTTTAGCGGTGATACCAGTGTTTAGTGGTGATACCAGTGCTAAGCGGTGATACCAGTGTTTAGTGGTGACACCAGTGTTTAGTTGTGACATCAGTGTTTAGTGGTGACGTCAGTGTTAAGTGGTGATACCAGTGTTTAGTTTTGACATCAGTGTTAAGTGGTGATACCAGTGTTTAGTTTTGACATCAGTGTTAAGTGGTGATACCAGTGTTTAGTGGTGAGAGAGAGAGAGAGAGAGAGAGAGAGAGAGAGAGAGAGAGAGAGAGGAGAGAGAGAGAGAGAGAGAGAGAGAGAGAAAGAGAGAGAGAGAGAGAGAGAGAGAGAGAGAGAGAGAGAGAGAGAGAGTGTGTATCCATCTGTACGTATTCACCTGAGTGTGGTTGCTGGGGTCGAGTCACAGCTCCTGGCCCCTCGTCTTCACTGGTCGCTACTAGGTTCACTCTCCTGGCTTCGAGTGCCTTATCGTACCTCCTCGTAATGCTATTCATTCACCAGGTTTTTATACTTCCTGACAATTCTAAGGCTGAAAAAATACTTTCTAACATCTCTATGATTCATGTTTTTTTCAATTTCCGGCCGAACCTTCATATTCTGTTCTCTATTTCTCAAACAATTTCCATATTCACCCTATCAATTCCTTTCACTATTTTGTAAGTTGGTTTATTGCCCCAAGTCCTTGTGTCGTCCAGTGCATCAGGTTGAGTTTCCTTAACCTCTTATAGAACATACCATTTAGATTCAGGATTAGTATCGTTTTAAACCTCCGCATTTTCACAAATTTCTTGACATGCTTGACCAGGTGCGGGTTCCATACTGGTGTTGTATACTCCAGTATGGGCCTGACGTACACGGTGTATGGTGTCCTGGATGATTCCTTATTTAGG